TCCTTAATTTTATTGACATATTTCAAATCTAACCTATTAAACCCCTTCCAGTGTTGTTGTTGTGTTTTTTGTATGTGTTTTTTTTTTGGTTTTTTGTTGCCTTCTTGAAGAGCAGCTGTAGGCCATTACTACTAAGTTTATCTGAGTGTATACTGATAAATATTTATAAAAGTTGCATTTTACTGTCATAGCCTGAACCACTTTCTAATTTTCTCAACTTTAGTTGCGTTATTTCTGTGCTCTAAACTTCAACTCCTCCCCTAAATTCCTCATACTCCCTTATTATATGAGCAATACAATGTGAACTAATATCTAAACACTATCAGTGCAAGTTTAATTTCCATGTGCTCACATTTATCTATCAATGCACAACTGACTGTTTCTGAAACTAGTAAAGGTAAAAGTAAAGGTACCCCTGCCCGTACGGGCCAGTCGTGTCCGACTCTGGGCTTGTGCGCTCATCTCGCTTAAGAGGCCGGGAGCCAGTGCTGTCCGAAGACACTTCTGGGTCACGTGGCCAGCGTGACAAAGCTGCTCTGGCGAGCCAGCACCAGCGCAGCGCACGGAAACACCTTCTACCTTCCCGCTATAAAGCGGTACCTATTTATCTACTTGCACTTAGGGGTGCTTTCGAACTGCTAGGTGGGCAGGAGCTGGGACCGAACGACGGGAGCTCACCCCGCCACGGGGATTCGAACCGCCGACAATGCGATCGGCAAGTCCTAGGCACTGAGGTTTTACCCACAGCGCCACCCGCGGTCCCGGGTTTCTGAAACTACTTGTACACTAAAGCACAATGACAAATCTGTTGAATGTTTTGGGTTCACATAACTGGTCTGGCCAACTTTTGTCAACCACCAGAAAGAGAGATGCTTGTATGCTGAAAGATTTAGGACTCCTGAAAGACTTAAAAGATCTTTAATGTATAGCGATAACTATGAGAACCTTTCAGTGATGAGGCCATGCAATGAAATGGACAGTAGATAAATTCAGGGCAGGCAAAACTAATTTCTTCTTTACCCCATAATTGATATAGAATTTGCTATTCCTTGTGATGGTTATAAGCTTTGAAAGCTTTTTAAAATAGAGGATTAGACAAATTCAGCTGACATAAAGAAAGAAATGAAGTCCCAATGCTTATAGGCAATTTAACTCTGATCACTAGGGGTAAACAGCACGATATGGCTGTGGCGTAGTGTTCTGTCTGCAAGCACTCCAACAGTATGTGACTGGCTACTGTCAGGAGACATGTTAGACTTGTTCCAGCAACACCAACTTTTATGTTCTTAATCCAAGTTTCTTTAACAAATACATTTACATATACTTATTCACAGAGCTGTCTGCTTCTGAATCTTCTTCTTTATGAAAACTACAATGAATGCCAGACAATATACTAGACATATAGACATCAATTTTGTGCTAGATGGTTCACTTTTGTTCCCTTTGAACAGCAGTTTTTTTTCTGAATTGTGATTAGGGAGAACATTAAGGGGAAACTAAGGAAAGTTGAGAAGGTACACAAAACCTTCTAGGGAAAGAGGACACAAAAAGAATGGATGTAGTCATGAGTTTTTGTTCCAGCAGATTAAATTACCTGCTCCAAAGGTCAAAACTGCGGCCATATTGATGAAGCATTCTGGGGACAACTGATTTTCTTCCCAAGTTGTAGTAGGAATATTTTCAGCATTCATTTACAACAGAATTTATTCAAACTCTCCATAACAATGGGCATTTCTGATGCAAAAGGCAGAATAGAGGCTCAGCCAGAGTTAGAAACTCATATACTATATAAGCTAATGACCAAATGGCACCTTAAACCAAGGTTATGGTCACTACAACAGAATGTCTAGGCACATTGCTGTGGTGTATTTTGCACTGGAATTTATTATTATCATTATTAGTATACATTTCATTTCTATACAGCTTTATATTTTAAAGAAAAGATCTCAAAAAGTTAACAACACATTAAAACATCAATTGAAACAATCCAGAATAAAACAAAATCAAGCTTCAAGGGAAATATTTCAGATTCTTCTCTAAGTGACATTCTGTTTTCCCATATTTATTTACCAACAATTTATAGAGCTGCCCCATAGCAGAAGTACTCTAGGAAGGCAGTGTGGTATACAGTGGTACCTCGGGTTAAGTACTAAATTCGTTCCGGAAGTCCGTTCTTAACCTAAAACTGTTCTTAACCTGAAGCACCACTTTAGCTAATGGGGCCTCCCGCTGCCGCTGCACGATTTCTGCTCTCATCCTGAAGCAAAGTTCTCAACCCGAGGTACTATTTCTGGGTTAGTGGAGTCTGTAACCTGAAGCGTATGTAACCTGAAGCATATGTAACCCGAGGTACCACTGTAGTGGTTAAGAGTGCCAGACTAGGACCTGGTAGATCATGAAGATCACTGGGTGACTTTGGGCCAGTCACAGCCTCTACCTCACTGGTTTATTGTCGGGATTAACTGAGGAGTAGGGGTGAACCATGTACAAGGGAATCCCCACTTATGCAGGGTTCTGTTCCCAGCTGCTGCACATGTCACCAGGTCGCACCTGAGTGGGAATTCCCCTGACCCTTTCAGTGCCAAAAATGGCATGTGTCAGTGGAAGTGCATGTGCTGATTGTGCGCAAGTGGGGAGACACCTGTAATCCTTGGAGAAAAATGTGGGGTATATATATGCAATAAATAAGATATTTTGCTCACCTGCTTAAGAAAGCTGGAGGGGACAGCCAAATGGAAATGTCAGTAGCCAACTTGGCATCAGAGATCTCCACATGGCCACAGTTGGCCACGTGCCAGTCACAAAATGCACCTGGCAAATTTTGAACACTGGACTCAGAATGAAGACACCTGAGCATAGCATGATTGTGCTCCTTCCACGACTACAGGCAGCAAGATATTCCAAAAGAGCAGCACTCAACCAAGGTATGCGTCCCTTGGACAAAGGTTGCAGAATACTATATTGCTATAATAAATGAGTTTTATTTACAAATATACAGGTAGGGAGTTCAATTTAAACACTCCAACAAACCTCATCCATGCTCCCATATTAGTTTTGTAAAGACAGTCAGCACCCCCAAAATGCTGTGAGCTTTGGGCCCCAAAATCAGCTCTGTATGTAACTCTCTTCCTTTAGTCCCACTGGAAAGAAAACCTCAAATCTATTCCTCCTTACACAGAGAGAGACACCTTGAAAGTCTAAAGTGGGAAGCCTGCTCTACATGTGAGGTTTTACCATGTGACTTAGAACACTGCACGATCAGGGTTCTAGATTGCATAATTGGCCTGTGTATGTTGGTCTATATACCACTCAGAGACAGCGATGTAATGCAGGGAGATGGTGTGGCCTTGTTCTTTCCCCTATGTAAGTTCCAAACACCTGGAATATCATAAATGGGGATGACAATGAACATGAGTAACAAACAGTGGTGCTTGGAAAGTCAGGTCAAAATGTGGAGGTTGGGGTATTCTGTCCTGAATTGGGGAGAGTGAAAGAGGGCTGACTGTGAGGCCATCGGCTTTGAGTGAGAAGAGTCAGGACACCTTCTGCATCCCATTGATTCATCCACTTCCCATATCTCATAAATATCCCAACCCCAACCATTGTAACTCTGTGGTGCAATGTAAAATCCTGTGCTACACAAACAGACAGGTTAACCTGCCAAGTTTTCTGTTACTCACCATTACTCACCTTTTCTTTTGTACAAAAAATGTGGGCCATACAAACACACTTGCAAATGCACATACAAACACCACTCTAGGAGCAAGTAACAAGCATGATGAACAGCATCCTTATTTCACTAACCGTTTCCTCAAGTCTACGCCTTTAAGTCACTGAACCAGCAGAGTAGCTCATAGAATCTGGTTTCAACCAATGTGATCTACTCTGACACAGCATTAAAATATGATTATTAAGCAACAACGACCACAGATCCAAAGAGCTACTGTAAACACAACAAAAGGCCCGTGAAAGCTCAGAAGGAATTCTTAACTTTGCTGTGAGTCCTAGAAGACCTGCTCCCTGCCCTGCAGGTCCTTTTCTACCTGGGCTGGAAGGGTGTAGGCCTGATTGACTCCAGCTACAAAAACTCAGGCTGCAAAGCTGAGGCTGCTGAACAGACACTGGGGCCGGGGTATTGTTTTTGGGGGGTTAGATTGTTGCTGTGTTGTTATTTTTCTGCTTGTTTATTTTAGATCTTATGATTTTCGTGGAAATTATTTGATTTGGTTGCGTATCTTTTATGTTTTATTTATTATTACTTCTTTTGCTACATTGAAATTATGTGGGGGGTTTTCCATGTTGCTAGCCACCTTGAACATAGAATATCAGCACACCCGCTAAATAAGTAATACATTAAATGGGGAAGCAGGTCTGTACAGTATTTTAAGAAGCAGATATTCAATAAAGTGAGCAGCTTGAGACACATCGCTTCCCTCTAGAAACTTATCTCATGGGAAATACAGTGGTACCTTGGGTTAAGAACTTAAATCGTTCCGGCAGTCTGTTCTTAACCTGAAACTGTTCTTAACCTGAAGCACCACTTTACCTAATTGTGCTCCCGCTGCTCCTGGAGCACAATTTCTGTTCTCATCCTGAAGCAAAGTTCTTAACCTAAGGTAATATTTCTGGGTTAGCGGAGTCTGTAACCTGAAGCGTATGTAACCCGAGGTACCACCGTACAGGCTCTTTGGTGAGGAAAGATAGAGAAACTCAATAAATTAAGTAAATAACAGCATGGGACGTGGTCAAAAATGTGAACTTCAGCCCTTCTTCTAGGTACTACCCCTGTCTCTAAAGTGGACTCTAATCCATGAAAGCTTCTGCCACAAAATGTTCCCCTTTTAAGACTCAGTTGTTTCTACCTAGTAGGGTCGTTGTACCGCTGCCCACCTGCCCATCCCTTTGGGTATTTGCCCCAGATATTTAGGTGGGGTGGGAGCACTAGAAGCAGCAGGCCCCGCTCCAGCCAGCCAGCCAGCCCTCCCTCCTCTTTCCCTTACCCTTCTTGTCCATGAGCCACATGAAGAAGAAGCAGGGCACGAAGCCGATGGGCCCCCAGAAGACGAGCAGGGCGATGTCCAGCTTGGAGAAGGGGAAGGCCTGGCGGGCCGAGTTCTGGATGGGGCCCCAGGTGTTCCACACCAGGCCCTGCGCGAAGCCCAGCAGCGAGAAGAGCAGCAGCACCAGCCAGCGCCGCCCGTACACGCGGCCGGGCAGCGGAGGCGGCGGCGGGCGCGGAGGCGCCGCGGGGACCAGCCCTGGGCTGCGGGGAGCCGCCGCCCGCGAGGCCGCTGCCGTCCTCCGGGGCTGGCCATGCGCAGGGTAGTGCTGGGGCAGCGCCGCGGGCGCCGGCGGAGGCTGCAAGAGGGGCTCCCGCTCCTCGGGGCTGCTCCAGTCCGAGCCCATCGCCTCAGGGAAGGAGACCCCCCGCCGCCCGCTTGCCTGTCGCCTGCCGGCCGGCCGGCGTCCTAACGTAACCCCACTTCAGCGGCGGCGGCAGTAACGCAGGCAGAAGGCAGCAGCCCGGGCAGCCGCATGCGCGATTCAGCCGGGCCTCACCCGACGCCGAAGCGCCTCTCGGCACAAGGCAGCGCATAGAGAGAGGAAAAGAATAGAGCGGCGAACGGTTGCTTGTCTTGCACACGGAACTTCCTGCTTTCATCCCGGGCGCGGCTTCACGTGGGAATGAAGCCCACCATAAGCGCTTGCACCTGAGTGAGGATGTGTGTCAGGTTAAGACGCTGGCAGTCCTGTGCTTATTATAATACCCGGAGCAGACCCACGTACATTGAATTCGGCGGGTCTCCTCTGAGGAGGGCTAACGTTGGGACACAACCCTACGTTGCGGGCGTTTTCAGGGGCAGAAGCAACGGCTGTCCATTGAAGACGAAAGGGAGGGAAATGCAGGATTTGGGTGTCGCTGGGAGTGAGCGGCATGTCAACACGCACGCAGAAGATTAGTAGGGAAGACACGAGTTTATGGTCTAACGCGTGCCTTGTTTTGAGGCGGAGGAAATGTGATTGGTCTGAGTTTAATGTTGTTGTTTTTAAATAAAGCATTTAAAGATTTGTGTTGCTGACGCTAATGCAGTCCATTATCCTCATATTCTGGGAAGGAGGGGCCGTTGCTCGTTAAGACAGCCTTGCAAAGTAGCCCGCCTCGGTGCCTACTCCTTGTAGAAGTTGCGAGTACAAATTAACACACCACCCCCCGTAGGTATAGCTCCTGCTTCTTCAGGGTTTGTCCACCTATACGTGCCCGTAGCTTGACCTCTCCCGCCCTTAGATTGCACAGCTCTTTGGGGAAGATGAGCCGCGCTGGTTCACACGCGTCTGCACGTGATTTGATTACCACATCCCTGATGAGCAGCAGCTGAATACGTGAACGCATTCCACCAAGCGTTGCGCAAGCGGGAGGGGAAGAGTTTCCTATTTGGGGATATCGGTAAACACTAGTGCGCTCTGCCCAGGCTAACTCGTGACTGTTGGCCGCAGCTTTGTGGTTACGTGGAAAGCAGTCCGCGCGTTCCCCGAAGAAAAGCAAGAACAACAGCTGCCGTCCCACGCTTTGCAAGGCAAAACACAAACAAAAGCCACGTGATTCTGCGCCTGATCGCCCACGTGATCTCGGGGAGGGCTGGTGGTGGTGACGGCGAAACGTCGAGCCGCTGAGGGAGAAAGAGGAGGAGACCGGGGCGGTTTCTCTTTCGGAATAGGAAAGGCCAGAGAGAAAGGGAAACAATGGCAACGAGAGCGGATGCTCTGGTGGTCTCTTCGCTGCCCGGTAGGTTGCTCCTTTCTGTGCCAATATCTGTCCCGGTATCCCCGCCCGCCAAAGTATCGGATCTCACCTGCACAGGCTCTCATGTCTTGGCTTCTCAATTTACGTGGGACAGACATCAGGTTAACATGCCCTTTGGTGAACCAGCATCAACTTCGTTAAATACAATATAAGCCTTCCAGACTGCAGCGCCTTCAACCCCGAGTTGAAGCCGGTGGTGGCCAAGTCGTGTTGAACAATGTAGACGTTGTGCATATTGGCTGGTGAATGTTCAACCTGCCCATATTAACCGAGCAATATGTGAAATGTCCTGCTGATTGATTAATGGTTACCCAGCCTTAGTTGGAAACTGTACACATTGACTGGGATATATGCAAAATTGCCTACTGGACACATTCTCCATGCAGTTTAGGAAATGTACACTAAGGCCAGCTTTATTCTGCGTTCATCTTGCATTCACCACAGCAAAACATACACAAACAAAAGTATAAATCCACTGTTCTCTTCACCACTAACTTGCTGATCAGTTAAGTGTAAGAAATGCAGTGCTTTGAGAGGCTTTGATTCAGATATTACTTCTTGCATTCTTCCTTCTTTCCCATTGAAAACTAGTATAACTGTCAAACTGATCTTCACATTTAAAAAACAGAATGTTGACTGGCCATGCATATCCACCTCCATTCCAATGTCACAGCCTTCCAGGAAATGCATTGTGTTGTATTTTACATTTTTCCTGTGCTCCCCCACCCCTGGAAAAATGGTTTGGATTTGAGCGTTCATAACCAAAGTGTAGAATGATGTCCGAAGTATATGCATTTCATGCTGATAATTCTTGTGTTCAGCTGTATTGCATTATATTTTGCATTTTGCCTCTTACTTTGAATATAGATAGGAGAACTGAGCTAGTATCTAACCTTGATATGTAGAATTGTGTCCTGAATATGCACATCAAACTTAATTCTGATATTTCAAAGTTTAGAGAAGTTTCATTACAAGTCAGCAAACAAATGGAATGCCCAAATGGGCTAAACCAAAGGTCTTTCTTTGCCACGACACATAGCTATCTATTTGATTGTAAACTGGGATGCGTGGAATATAAAAACTGCAGGAATAAGAATGACTCATTGCCTCCCCCAGAATTGCCCTTTTGTGAATGCATGTTTCCTACAATGCTTTAAGTGAATACTCCCAGCAGCAGAGAGCAGCATACTAAGGGGTAACCTTTGGCCTATGGTCCATGTGCGGACAGAAGCTGCCAGAAAGGACAACTCTAGTGAAACTAGTTCTCACTTGCCCAGTTATTTTCCTTGCCCGTGTTTGCTTCAGGAGATCTCATCATAAGAACATAAAACAAGACTGCTGGATCAGGCCCATGTTCCATGTAGTCCCATACCCTGGGGTCTCAGTGGCCAGATTGATGCCTGTGAGAAGCCTGCAAGGTGGACATGAACAAAACAGCACTCTGCCCACCTGTGATTCCCATCAATTAGTAGTCACAGGCATAATTTCTTGGGTTTCAAAGTGTCTGTGGGTATGTGCAGGAAGTTTATTCTTACAGAAAACCCTCACTGAGCCCAATCCATACCCATGTATATTGGTTGCAAGGGGAAGGATTTGCAGCAAAAATAAATTCATTATGATGTCATCTGTTGGTAAAGGCAAAAGAGAGAGCAGCTAGCCTTGCAGCAGTTAAGTGCATACAGTGGTACCTTGGGTTACAAACGCTTCGGGTTACAAGTACTTCGGGTTACAAATTCTGCTAACCTGGAAGTAGTACCTCGGGTTACGAAATTTGCCCCAGGATGAGAACGGAAATCGTGCAGCGGCAGCGGGAGGCTCCATTAGCCTCAGGTTAAGAACGGTTTCGGGTTAAGAACAGACCTCCGGAACGAATTAAGTTCGTAACCCGAGGTACCATTGTACTGATGCTGAATTTGATCATGCACATGAAGGTGCAAAAAATAGTTCAAGTTTATGCTGATGATTCTAGAAGAACTGGCCTGTTGCCTGCATAACTCAATTTACTTCTTGCTTTTTTAATGCTGTTTTAGTTCTTCCTTCTTCCTGCTCACATGCATGTTGATGTGGAAGCAAGTCCCCATGTGGGCAATTAAACTTACTCACATTTTTACTTTTTAAATAGTTGTGGTTGCTTAGTTTTATTTCTGTTTAGGTTCTCCTTCTTGCGCACATGCATGTTGATGTGGAAGCAAGTTCCCCTGAGGTTAATGAATCATGCTCATATTTTTACTTTATATATTATGTTTATATTCTCTTTTGTTTCCATGGAAATCAACACACTGTGTGTAGGGTTCCCAGGTGGTCTGTCATCCCGACCCAGCCTAGCTTAGCTTCAACAAGATAGGTGCATCATCTGCCTTCAGACACTGGCAACAGTCTGATCCTATGATGAGTTCAGTATGCCTAAGTCAATTGAATCCAACTCTGCATAAGAACTGGCCACTAGAATTGCAGCATTAGATGCAGACTTCACTAAATATTTCACCTTTTTGGGGGGGGTAGTAATGGCAGTTGTGATCCCCCTGCCCAATTCAGAACCCAATGTGGTTTTATGAGAAGTTCTCCTACAATTTCCTTATGATTATAATTTTTCTTTTCTAGTGGTTTAAATCCAAACTATCTTTGAAGTGAATGGGGAAATCTGTTCATCTCATTATGTTGTATTGCCAATAGCCCACTGGTTTATGAGCGGTGTTCATAATGGATAAATACTATCTTACACCTTCCAAGCAGTATATTCATCTCTCTGAGGTTCTAATACAGTGGTACCTCGGGTTACAGACACTTCAGGTTACATACATACTCCGCTAACCCAGAAATAGTACCTTGGATTAAGAACTTTGCTTCAGGATGAGAACAGAAATCGCGGCGTGGCAGCAGAGGGAGGCCCCATTAGCTAAAGTGGTGCTTCAGGTTAAGAACAGTTTCAGGTTAAGAACGGACCACCGGAACGAATTAAGTTCTTAACCCGAGGTACCACTGTACTGCATATTTACTAGGGAAAAGACCCCATTGAATACAGTAAGACTTGCCTGTGAGTAAACATGCATCAGGTTGAACTGTGAAGTGATCCCCACCCCCTGACTGGTTAGAGAACTTTTGACTTCATATTCATTAAGGGGAACTTGTTCATAATGTTCACATGGTACAATGCCCAGTTTATTTAGTCCCATCAACTGGGTGATGTTTAGGTAATTTTTGGATCGGATCAATAAATAATCTGAAGCTGATTATTCACACCCACCCAGTGTTCATATTAATGGAAATACAAACACTGGTAAGTTTCCTGTGCCTGTCCCATACCTAGTAAAGAAGAAAGTAGGAAAATGAAGAATGTAAATATGAGCATGAATCACATATTCAGTCATTTGGACTAAGCCATCTTATTTTCAATGTAATCAGCTTTAAATCTCTTCCGACAGAATTAAGAGTTTAAGATAGATGTTAAATATTATTCATTTGTATTTTCCATTAATTAAATTGTAATTGAAATAACTAATTGCAATTACAGTATTTTAATTACTTTGTTTCCTAGCACCGTGGCCTGCATACAGATGTGACTCTAGTGATGTGACCTTTCCTCCCCAGTTAATTTAGCATAGCACAGCATTCCATGTGAATTTGCAGGCTATAGAGCTGTCTAAATTAGTTAATGTGGAGGAATGGCGCATTGTTGATAAACTGTTGGAAGCCAAATTAGCTTTATCTTGCAGCAAGCTGATAGCATTATTTTACTCATGGGACTAATATATCTCTAAATATGCTAATTTCACTCTTCTGTTGGGTGGTATT